GTGTGTAAATGTCTACCTCCAGTTGTCTGCTGGCCTCTTCGTTCCTCTGCATGAGAGACAGTTTGGTGCGGAGGCTCCTGAAGTGCATGTCGCTCATCATATTGGCCCGCTTTGTTGTGACCTCATTCACCGACTGGGAGAACAACCAAAGTTTAATTCAAACAGAGAATCGGACTTTGGAATATGTTATTGATGGAGTTCATCTACAAAATAATGTGATATTGTTTCAAGTCGCACTGCATCAATGGAAGAATTAGGGATTGGATTATGTGTATGAAATGTAATTTGTGTGATGGACAAACAACTTTGATCATATGTTTTTAAGTTAAATAAAAAGTTTAACGAACCAAAATGACCAGCTGCTTTTTCTCTGAGTCGTAGGTGACGCTGAACGCTCCCACGGCCTTTTTAAAGTCTTTGTGTGCTGATTCCTTGGAGCACCTGTCAACACAGTTACACAAATAATTAATGCCATACCAATTCATGTCCCTGAATAACACAGCAATCACTATTGATTATTTAAGGACATGTGTGCACATACATTCAGTTCATCACAGATTTGTGTGAAGCATTATTTAGTATTTTTAGAGCCTAATACAAACTTGAATATTTGTCCCACTCAAAACTATTCATTAAAAAAACTTAGATTCTTAGAACATCTACAAGAATGCGGCTCACACCTTCTTATACTGCTGCTACATATTTGAGTGTTGTATTAGCAGCATTTAACACTGTTGCTCTACTGGCATTGTGCCTCTTACCAACAACGTATTCCTCTGACAGATGCAGCTACACATCAGCAGGTTCTGTTTAAAAGGCGCATGCTTCTGACAAGGTACAGATCTATGTGCCAACTGTCACCTAGGGTACTACCTTTGTTAAAGCTAAGCTAGCAAACTGGCCTTGGCTGGAAATGTGCCATTTAATGCTGTCATGGCTGAGCAGCTAGTCCAGAAGTGTAAGTGCTTTCAAACTGAAATGCACTTTAAATGCCAAACTCCAACATTTTCTTTACTGCTCATTATTATTGCTGCTTTGTTGTTGTTTTTTGCTCTTTCCCCTCTTCTCTTTGCTTTACTTTCAACTTGCAGTCAGTGCAGAGCATTAGCTTTTGGTGCAACAGTGATTGTTGTCTGCTGGGTAATAGATCCACAAAGCATTAATTTAGGGCAGAGAATTAAAATCAAGTATTACTCATATTACTCAAGTGTTTTCCTTGGAGAAACCCAATTTCCAAGCACATATCCTGTGTGAATTTATCTAAACAAATGGTTAACTACATGTCTTAACTGGACATAAAAGTGTGTGTGTGCGCGTCTGTATACCAAACTTACATCTGCCGTAGATCCTCGGGTACATCCAGTCTGATCTTGATGAAGGTGGCTTTGTTGGCTGGTTTATTCGGGTTGACCGGCCGTAACCGCTCCAGCGTCACTATCTCATTTAATGTAGCGTCACATGCAGCGTACTCTATTACGTAAAACTAGAGACACATAAAGACAAGGATTTTTCAGATAATGTAAAATGAAATGTGCCACAGCAGGGTTATATGAGTAACAATATACATTTCAGTTTTAATAAAATAATTTAAATATCCTGGAAAGAATATGGTTAAGACAGAGAAAAACAAGAGAGAGATAGACGGAGATCTAAAATGCATAAAAAGACAGTAGAAGAGATAAAGCATAAAAACCAGGCCAGAGAACAAAATGGGAAATAGAAGAAAAAAGCAGCTCACAGCGGTGAGACATGTCTGACTCGTTAGCCCACACTGAATCCTCCAATCACTCAAAAAGTCTGATCACAACAGTGAGTCCTTGAACAAAGGCAGTAAACACAATAACACCTATCATCACAGTCAACACCAACCTCCAGAGGGATGAGGGTATACTCAGGCAGATCATCTACACTGAGCCACTTCAAAAACATATATTCATATAGCAATATCGCATTCTGAAACATTACACTGTGTGAACCAGTGAAAAGAAAATAATGTGAATATCGACACTGTCACAGTGCTACTTGCTGCCGTTCCGATCCGACGAATATCTTTATACACAGCCCAACACTGTACAATGATACTGTAACCCAGATTTAGAAAGACTGTGGTCTGAGTCCTACCTCTCCTTTGACCATGCGAACCTTGGCCAGCCACCATCCACATGGCTCCTTGTCATTAGCCCTGGAATATACCTGGTACACACACACACACACACACACACACACACACACAGAGTACATTTCAAAAACCTTTCCAGTTATCACCCAGATCTGAGATGATTATAACACAGACATCTGGCACAGATAATGCAAATACACAAACTGAATTCATAAACTGATGTGGCCTAATTACTTATTCAATTCAGTAGCACTAAGGACATCTGAGACATCGGCAAGTTGCCATATAAGCATATTAAAAAAAAAAGGAATGAATAATTTACTTGTATAATCATTACGAAGTGAACAAATGCAGTCTCTCTGATGATTTTTGAAGATGGTTAAAGTTAAATTTTATTCTGCTTTCAGTTAGGGCTGCACAATTAATCAAAATCATTGTCACAGAGAAAAGAGAGATATAATAAAAAAAACAAATCATGCAGTAAATAGTGCAAAAAGGATCAATCCCACTAGTTGTGAATCAATAAAAAACCTGCTATATAAAAAAGCCCTACTCTCAGGAGAGCACACCATTGTACCTGAACATCTTTATGTTGCCGTAACTACACGCAGCACTGAATCTTAAGAAACATGTTTACTTAAACCTATGATGAACGATATAAACTGCAGCAGGAACATAATCCATTTGAAAATCTCTAAAAATAGAAAACAAAGAGCCTCAAGAATTTTATTCTGCTGGATTTCTTCTCTTGCACTACCTCTAGGCTCTCTCTGCTTTCTAAATAAACCACATCTGAGGGTAATATTCGTTTTCTGAAAGTACTGAATCAGTCCCACCTCGACCTCATCGCTCTCATTTATCTCCTTGCAGAACCCTGTTGGAGGAGGAAAACGCACATCCTGGAAGGGGATCTGGCGCTCTGGCTGCCAACTAGGACAGAGGGACACACACATTTACAACAAATAAGTGTGGAGTTCATAACTGGCAAAAGGTAACGTTTCACAGTATGTTCGATTTTTTACAGTGTATGCGCATTACTCACTTGTTTTCGAATGCCACAGTGACCGATCCTTCGTGAACATCCTTAATAAAGGCCTACAAGAATCACAGAAATGACAAAAGTTAGAATAACCGAGATGTGACGTACCCACAGACAGTCAACACAGCGTTTTACTGGCATCAAGCATGTAAAGTGGTTACAATTCTGCCACCAAGGCCTGACCAAGCCCAAAGTCGCTAGCAGCAAAACAGCCCAAACTGATCCCTCTTTTTAAGGCTTGAGTCAGGCTTGGTTGTGTCTCTCTGGGTGCACACACTCTGCGTCCATGTGTGTCAAGTGCTGCAAGTAGGACATGCAATGCCTTGAAGGAAAAGAGAGAGCGATAGAGCCTAGTGTAAGGGTTGTATTAGCCTGTCAAGCTAACAGTCAGTAATGGATGAAATGAAGCAAAAAACTTTCAGAAGGAGAGTTTCTTTAAAAATCCCCCAACGATTCAAGGAAAGCTTTTCTACCGCACATTCTGACTTAATTGAGCGGCGACGGTGCCTGTGCCGAACCCCTTACAGGATTACGACTACTTGAGCTGTCGAGTTGAGGAGAAGACGTTCGGTGTTTACGAGACGCATTCGTCTGGCCTGTTTTGGGAATAAAACTACAAAAGGAGAAATGTTTCTTTGATATCATAAATGAAACTACTCTAAACAGATAAGGCAGGTGATTTTGTGTGAGAGTATTGTGTGCAGGCAGTTTGTGGGCCAATGTCTGTGCGGCGTTATTGCCACTAAAAGCAGCATAAGAATGGCATAAGAAGAATGGCATATTGGCACAGAGACAGGGTTCTGGCACATAATCAGCCTCCTATTCTATCACCAGAAGCAAACTCTAAGTTGTCCTCAACACAAGAGGATTTATTGTAAAATGGCGGAGAATGTCTTATTGATGCAGAAAACATTACGATTATTAACCATTCTGCCTCATGCCTTCATGACATAATAACATAATAACGCCACTTATTAGCTCTCAGTGGTAGAGGAAATATCCCGATCCTTCCCTGGAGTTAAAGAGCTAATACCACACTGTGAAAGTGTTTCACTATTATATAGGATGTTTTTGGATTAATATTACTGTTATATGTTTACGGTTGAGCTAATTTAACTACTTTACGTACTGTTTGGTCATTGAATCTACAGCAAGGCATCATATTCTACAACATCACACATATATCTAAAAAGTTTAACTTTTCACAAGCTCAGATAACAGCTGTTTTCAGCTTTGTGTCACAATGAAGGATGAAAGCAGTAATGACACATTATCTAAGATCACAACAAAGTGTTAACTATTATTGCGACAGCAGACGCGTGACTATCCTTGTCATGTGATAGCTAATGACTATGGTGGGTCTAAGGACAGAGGGTGTCTGAGGCAAATGTGTGATTTGTGATATTGGGCTATATAAATAAAACCTGACTCGACTAAAAGCTCATTCATCAGTAAAAGATCACATCAAGCAACCTAATGACGAATGTCTTGGTCAAACACGATCAATTTCTTAGTCAAAAAAACTGTGTTAAAAACGTAACATCAACAAATACTTAAAACTTTAAAAAATAAATCTGCAATAAGTCCAACCTATTTGGCTGAATTAAACCCTGTATGTGCCAAATGTACCACTTTAGCATCCTGGATCAAGACATCAAAGTGTACTTTCTTACAAAGTGAATCACTGTACAGCATCTGTGTGTGAGTGAGAAACACCTCTGTGTCCTACAGCTCTGAACAAGGTGGAGATTAAATGATGAGTGACTTATACGACCGCTCGCAGCAAAACACCGACGTCAAGTCTAAATACAGAGCAGTAAATCCACCTATATGCTTTAAATTCAAACATGACATTTTTGCCACGTCAGTCATCCAGATAAATCCGACCCTAAAAAAGATGAGTGGTTGGCAAACTGTGCATTTTGTGGATCTCTTAAACTAATCGGAAAATTGGCTAATTGCATTAAGTGCTATAATTTGATAATAACACATGCCAAATAATAAAAACAGCATTCAAACTGTTTGCCAAAAATCCCATTTTGCATCCATAAAGTGATGTTCGGCCAGTGCCACACCCGACACACAGAAAGTACATCCACTCCTGACGTCGCCATCTTTGAAAGACAGAAAGAATTTAGTTTTTGTTATTTTTCCAGACAGGACTGATTTATCATATCCACGTTCAATTAAAGAATATGCTCTAGTGAAAGTACTTCTGTTTATACTTTAACGATTCAGCACATTGACTCAACGCTCATTACATCTGAAAATGCTTTCTGATGGCTGTACTGCAAACTCCTTCCATTCATACTCCTAACATTAGTTTGGCAGCAACAAGGCTTCCAATTACTAGAAAGACGACAACACTTGCAAGCAATTACATTCTTTTAAGGTCTGCTATCAGCGAATGTGAGCTGGTACTACTTTATTTATTGTTCCCAGCTTTCTTTTACTCACTGCAGATTAAGGTATTCAAAACTGACTTTCCTGCTTTGCTGGGTTCCCTCCGTCAGCTGTCCCTGAAGCACGACAGTGGGAAATACAAAGTTTCACCCCACAGCAAAACTTTGCTAGAATGTGTGCTTTTTATTTTGGACACCTAAGTGTAGTTGTTTACTTTTAATTAAGCAACATTCAAATGGAGAACTTGTGCCATTGTGCTGCTGCTTATGTTTCATCCACAACCAGGATCAACACCTGTATAACAAAGTCAGCCCTGGGATCCATGAGCAAGACTCTCACCCTGTGCTGTAGTCTGTGGTACACATAAGAAATACACATATATATAATATTTAATATGATCAAAGTAAATAAGCTCAACCTACAAATCCCTGCTCATCCTACTTGTTGACTCTTGTCTTCAGAGTAAACCCCAGCAGCTTAAATGAAACAGAAACTACCTGCCCACCAGGGGAAACACACGGCCAAAGCAAACCCACATTTGTTATCCTAAATTAACTTATGATGACCGGACTGTGGCACCTGTGCCCCTGCCACCACTTCACACACAGCATTAAATCACAATCAGCCTCCCCAGCTACTAGTTTAACACCGTCGTCAACCACCAACATTCAGCACACACAGCAGCAGCTTGAGCCCAGCTCTGTGTGCAGACTCCCGGCGGAGGTTCGAGCAGAAGCACCGAGGCCCGCAGACAGGCGGCTCATCTCTCGGCTCACCTTTAATCATTACCTCAGCTATCCGGACGCGTGCGCGCCGCGCTGCAACCCACGGGACTGAAAACAAACCAGAGCCCACCACCAACTCACCTTATAAAAGGCCCCACTTGTTCCCCTCACTTCCACGACCAGTTCATCCATGACGCAAGTCGCTGCAGCTCGCCAGCTAGCTCACCCCCCCCCCACGTTAGCGACGTTAGCAGCTAGCGAGCCTAGCTGGAGAAGTCTTGTCCGTCCAGCCTGGAGGCGGCCGAGAAGAAGGCCCGGTTAACGGTGTGTGGCCCTAACGCTGTTTCTTGCCGCCCCGTAACTGAGGTCCCGCTGGCAGACGGTGTGGATCTGCCCGCGCACTCGTGGCCTGGCAGGCTGGCTGTGCTTAATGTTGTGTGATTGGTGGTCGAAGCTGCCCTTGGTTGCATTCCTCCCTGTGACGTCCCGCCGCTCCCTCGTCTTCCTCTGCTCGAAAGTCCGGCTGCGCCGCCCGTCGCGATTCGGGTTGATCTGTTGTTGCTCCGTCTGCAGGCTTGTGCTGCTCCCTCCACCACCCGCCGGGTCTGATGCACAGGATGCGCGCTTGGTTTTCCTCTTCTCTCTGTTTTCTTTTTTTTTTCCTTCCCTTCTCTTCCTCACACACAGCAGCGGTAATTAAATCTATATCACATAACCCCCCCCCCACTCCTCGGGCATCCACCAATACTCAATCTTGGCAATAATGCAAGGGACAGATAATTCAACTGTGGCAAGTCTAACTTGCCGGCATGTGCAAAACTGCTGCTAGTATTTTGTATTGTGTTTTTTACTGTTATTTCTCTGGTACAGTGTTTATATTACCTACCTTCGCATATTACTACTTATTACTTTTCAATACTGTTTTTATACGTTTTTTCCTCTCCTATCCCACCTTTGCTGCCTCGGTAAACATTGGAACCTTTCCCATGTAAACGAATATCTTATCCTTATGTTCACGCTGTTATCCCTTATCTTGGTAAACAAAATATATTGTGTCTTATCCCTGGCAAAAAACTAAGTCTCATCACACCTCCCCACCGACACCAAAATGACGTAACCACCGCTCACTTACACCACTAAAACAACTGTTTTGCACATCCCATAGCATTCATTGCACACTGCACAACACTTTTAAAATTACTGTAATATTGAGTTTTTTATTTATTTATTTATTATTATTTTTTTTTTTACTTACTGTACTTCGTGTAATATTGTCTTTTTATACTATTCTATTATTGGGTAATATTGTGTTTTTTGTTACTTATTGTATTCTACTATTGTATTTAATGCGTCGGTATCAGGGTGGACAGCAAAGAAAGAATTTCATTGCACAGAGGAAACTTGCTTTCTTTTGTTGCATATGACAATAAACATCTTGAACTTGAACTGTGTAGTGCTTCTCTGGCCAAAACTAAAACAGAGAAATTCCTTGATGAATATACTGGGATTGTGGCCTCAGTGGCAGCTACAGCCTGTCAAGTATGGATGTGAATGTGGCAGGTTTGTACATAGAAAACATTCTGCTGGGAAATAGGCGTTGATGCTGTCAGTCAATTCGCTATGTATCTGCTGATTCTTTGCTTCACAATTCCATATGTACACTGTGTCTTGCTGCTAGTATGTCAGGTGTTGGAAAGATTGCTTGTGTCTATCAGCATCCAAACAAATCTGTCTTTGTAAATTGGTGTCACTGGGTGTTAGTGTTTGGGCCCAGACCACAGCACGGTTGTGCGGTGTCAAACGTTTGTAGTCATGAGGAGTCGGCGTGTCTTGCAGCAGTGCGTTGGTGTTGGGTGTGATTTGGATTTCTCTGCACGGCTACGGGAGTGTCAACACATTCGCATGCTGCACTCTATCAAGGCTCTGCGAGGTTAAGAGTGCAGCAGACGAGTTCAGAATCATTTCAGATGAGGCACGCAAGCTTGCACAAGTTCCCTCAGCAGAGAATATAAATATATGTCTCTGAGCTGAATTTTACATTTAAATTTTACACACAATTACACTTGAAATGTAAACAGGCGATATTTTACATCAAATGTAATGGAAAAAATTATGTTTATAGATCCGGGCCTCGTTTCCTAAAAGTATCTTAAGGCTAAGATGGTCGGAAAATCCATTTTACGACTGTTTTTAAGATGAAGAGATGTTCCCCAAAGGCAAAGTGATGTAAGATGCACTTAGAAGTGATCATACATTAATGAGTGCCTCAGTCCACTTGTAGAAACTCCAGAATCTTAAGACATATTGCACTGAAGTTTGTATTGTTTGTGTTAATTTTTAAGCCTCATGCCTACTGGTATTCTCTGTTAGGTAACGTGTAAAATAAGTAATGATGTTTAAAATAGTTGTTAAACTTTCATTGCCCCATTGCTTATCTAATAC